GGCACCCACGCGGCGTGGGGGGGGCCTGGCACTCAGCATGCTGAGCCTACGCTCCCGTGGGGGGTGCGGGGGGAGGGTTAGCTCCCAGACTGTCTACTGTTCCAAAAGAAAACAAGCGCAGAGGAAAGCAAGAGCGTTTCTTGGGGCTGATGCAACCTGTTCTGACCCGAAATGGACCCCCCCTGCCCGGCCTGCTCGCTGTAATAGTCATAATCCGGGGGCAGGGCCTCCTCGTCCTCCGGGGAGCTGTCCAACTCCCTCACGCCCTTCCCCCGGAGTTCCACGCCCTCGGAAGCGCCGTTCTCCGGCCACGGAGATCTGTCCATGAAGATGGTCACCTTTGCTGGCTCTCGGAGCTGCGTCTCCCTGGTGGGCACCGAGGGGCCCTGGGTAGGGGCCGCGTTCTCCTGGTGGGGGTGGTAGTGGTGGAACACGGCTAGGGGGAGAAGGCTGTCCATCTCCGTCTGGGACGTGATCCAGTCGCCGTAGTCTTCCACCTTGACGTACAGGAAGAGGCCAGGGCACCTCTCGCCCCCCTGCGACAGGACTCCTTGCAGCACCCACAGGTCCAGCCCCTGCAGCTGGCACATGAGCGGGTTTCCCGGGTCCCCCTGTGACAAAGGACAGAAGGCTTCAGGTCTCAAAGAACTTTCCCTTTTTTGTTTTGTTTTTTTTTTTTTAATTTTTTTTTATCGATTTCAGAGAGGAAGGGAGAGGGGGAGAGAGAGAAACATCAACGATGAGAGAGAATCATGGATCGGCTGCCTCCTGCACGCCCCACACTGGGGATCGAGTCCGCAACCCGGGCACGTGCCCTGACCGGGAATTGAACTGTGACTTCCTGGTTCATAGGTCGACACTCAACCACTGAGCTACACCGGCCGGGCTGAAAGAACCTTTCATTGTTAATACATCCTTGTGCAATTTACGGTTTGCTCCAGAAATGTTCTACGCCGGTGTGCGCTGGAAACGGGGCAGATGATAGGGTACTCTCTCCAATCTGGGCAGCCACCGCCACAAACCTCAACAGGACGACTCATCCTTTCATTGTACAATTTATTTGTCGACTTCTGCACTCTGCCTGTAACTTCCTGATTCGCATTTCATTGTCTTGCCCCTTTTCAGTACTTGGACTGAATCCCTCTTTCAGTTTCTCATGCCTCAAATGTTGCTACTCCTTTCCTTTCTGGCCTGGAATGGTCACCTTTCCCCCCCTCCTCTCTCTTTTGTTTCTATCCCTCATTGAAGCTGCTCGCTCCCACCCACAGTCCTGCGAGGGCCAGGGTCACGCTGGACTAGGGTCGCCTGGGCAGCTGCCGGTCTCTGCACGCGCTCCCGGCGTTCCCTGCTCCTGTGGGTCGTGAGGCCACGGGCATTCTGCCACACTGACCTCTCTCTCACCAGGTGTGTGGGTGGGAGCTTGGCACACTTGGCTAGCGAGGTGACCCTGGCCAGTTACCTAGGTTTGAAAGTGGAATTGCCTGATCATGTTCCACTGACAGCGGTGACTGGGTGGGGTTGGGGGGGGGTCCATTCTGCAAGCGTTTTATCAAGCACTTGCTCTCTGCCAAGTGCCAGCCCACACAGAGTCGGTCCCGAGAGCCACGAGTCTCCAGTAACAGTCCCCGCCTCTGGGGTCCCCCACCTCTGGAAGTGACACGATTCCTCTCTGCATTGAGCTTCTGCTCCGTCATGTTCTTTTTTTTGTTAATCCTCACCCCAGGATATTTTTCCATTGATTTTTTTTTAGAGAGAGTGGAAGGGAGGGAGAAGGGGGAGGGAGAAAAGGAGGGAGAGCAGGAGAGAGAGATGGAGAGAGAGAGAGGGAGAGAGAAACATCGATGTGAGAGACAGACATCGATGGGTTTCTTCCCACACATGCCCTGACCTGAGCTGGGGATTGAGCCTGCAACCGAGGTACATACCCTTGACCGGGAATCGAACCCACAACCCCTTCAGTCCGCCAGCCAATGCTCTAACCACTGACCCACCGGCCAGGGGGAGTCCGCCATGTCCTTACCAAGCAGACAGTGTCGGTCTCCTGCTCCACGTGGCTGCCACACCCTGTATTCTGGAACTTGTATAAGGGGCACAGGTCGATGTCTTGCACAGAGATTTTCCTCAGGATACTCATCGTCATTTGCTCTCCCGTCTGCACCATGCAACAGAGAGCCCGAGAGTTACCAGCAGGAAGACAACCCCCGCAGCCACCGCAACTACGGCCCACACGTCCAGGTGGGGGTGAGCAGGCACCGTGCCGATCAACCCCTTTCCCTCCTAGACAGCAGGGCCTGGGCTGAGATTTTTACTGGAAACTACTTGTGCTTTGAACTTGAAGGTGAATATAGGCAGAGAACATAGGTATATCGCTTTTCAACATCTACGGAGAGTACATTTCCCTGTTTATTTCCCAGGAAACAAGGATGGCTTAGTCAAGAGGACAGTTCGCTCTGGTTTGGGGAGCATGTCCCTGGCCCCCCTGTAACTCGTGCCGATTTCGGGTTGCCAGATGCCTATGTACTTCCGATTGTGGTCTATGTAGGACTAGAAGGAAAAAGGGCCGAATGTACTAGTAAGAATGACCACAGAAAGGGCAAGCACTGGGGATCTCGACTGATTAGCTGTGGGTTCCAGCCGGACTCTAGAACCTCGAGCCACCTGCATTCTTAAGATAAGCCCTAGCCCGACCCACGTGGCTCCGTGGTTGAGTGTCGACCTATGAACCAGCAGCTCACGGTTCAGTTTCTGTCGGGGCACATACCAGGGTTGCCGGCTCGATCCCCAGTGTGGGACGTGCAGGAGGCAGCCAATCAATGGTTCTCTCTCATCATTGATGTTTCTCTCTCTCTCTCCCTCTCCCTTCCTCCCTGAAATCAATAAAAGTATTATTTTTTTGTAAAAAAGATAAGCGCTAGAATGGTCCGTCCAAGTCCCCCTACTGCCAGCACACTCAGCCTCCGCCAGGAGAAGGAAGGCGTAACTGCTAACGTGGGGTTCCAGCCGGCCACCCAGCAGTTGTGCGAAGCCAGCGGCATGTACAGCTTCCTGCCCAGGAAGCAGATGGGCTGCACCAGGCTGGTGAACTGCATGGCCGTGTCTGTCTTCAGGAGGGCCAAGTCATTGGCCATCGTCTTGTTGTCAAAGTCCTCGTGGACGATGATGGTGTTGACCGGGAACTCTTCGTGAGACACCACCGAGGCGTTCATCCTCGCGATGCCCACGACGGCCACGGCGTCCTTCCTGCAGGGAGAGCGAGGGCACCGTGAGAAGCTGAGGCGCGAAGAAGGCTGCGTTCTCCCCTGTTTTCATGATCACCATAATGAGCGGGTTTGGCTCGGTGGATAGAGCATTGGCCTGCGGACGGAAGGGTCCTGGGTTCGATTTCGGTCACGGGCGCTATATTTTAAAACAAGATTCACACAGACCACAAAGACAGCCTCAACAAATTCCTAAACCACCACGCAGGATAACTCAAAACTAAATGGTGCGGAAAATAGAACAGAACACCTTACCACTGGGTATTTTAAAACTCTGTCTTTCACAAAACCCTGGGTCAAACAGAAAAGCAAACCAAAACAGCAGACTGAACAGAAAGTAGCAATATCGGGAACCCCAACACCAAGCAGAAGCTCTCGAAGGGCTAGTGGCGGTCCCTGTGAATGTCGAACCCCGTCTTCCACTCCCCGGTCACTCATGCTGCAAGATGCCCGCGTGTGTGTGGAATGACGTAGGTACCGCTCCACCTACTGCCGCGTTTTGGGCCCTGGGAAAAGGTCGAAAACCATGCAAATGTCCCTCATTAGAGGACTGGGTGATGGTACCTCCGTCATGGGAAACTGTGCAGCTGATGAAAAGAATGTTGCTCCCGCCCGGCCGGTGTGGCTCAGTGGTTGAGCATCGACCTATGAACCTGGAGGTCATGGTTCAATTCCCGGTCAGGGCACATGCCCAAGTTGCAGGCTCGATCCCCAGTAGGGAGTCTCCAGGAGGCAGCCAATCTCTGATTCTCTCTCATCATTGATGTTTCTATCTCTCTCTCCCTCTCCCTTCCTCTCTGAAATCAATTAAAAAAATGTTTTTGAAAAAAGACTTCCCAACACTCATGATAGAGTGAAAAAAGCTGAGAGTGAAATACTGAGTATGGTGTGCTACCAGTTGTTGGTTTTTTTGGGTGTGTGTGTGTGTGTTATAGACTGAATTGTGTTCCCCCAAATTTATTTGTGAAGCTCCAGCCCCAAAAGCAGCTGCATTTGCAGATAGGGCCTTCACAGGGGTAATTAAGATTCAATCAGGCCATAAGGGCAGGAGTCTTGTCCAAAGGGACTGGTGTCCTTATAAAACTAGGAAGAGACACGGGAGTGCGGACACAGCGGGAAGGCCATGTGAGGACGCCCTGTGGGGGTAGCAGTCCGCGAGCCCACGAGAGAGGCCCCAGGAGACCCAATCCTGCCAGCACCGTGATCTTGGACTTCCAGCCTCCAGAACAGTAAGAAATAAACTTCTGTTGTCTGAGCCACCCTGTCTGCGGGCTTTTGCTATGGCCGCCCTAGCAGACGAATGCTGGGAGAAGAAAATTCCCCCTCTGTCGGTAGATATAGGCTTATGGGACCTGTGGGTATATAGCTATGTATACAGAGAGCCATACATGCGTTGGGTATTTAAGGAAGAATCCCCTAGAAACTGGTGACAGAGTTCAAGGGAGGGATACAGTAACTGATATGCCACGGAGGGAAGGGATCCCTTTCCTTATATATCGTTTGGTTCCTCATGAGCATTCTACTTTGCACATGTATTTTCAATGTAAAAAATATAAATCATAAGTAAAAAAATCAGCAGTTGCACAATATTCCATTGAAAGTTTATACTATAATTTGTCTTGCCAATTATAGTAATTACTAGAGGCCCGGTCCACAAAATTTGTTCACTCGGGGGCGGTGGGTCCCTCAGCCTGGCCTGTGCCCTCTTGCAGTTCCGAGCCCTTGGGGAGCGGGCCTAAGCCAGCAGTTGGACATCCTTAGCACTGCCGCAGAGGTGGGAGAAGCTCCTGCCACCACTGCCGCACTCGCTTCTGTCTGAGTTGCGCTCCCCCTGTGGGAGCACACTGACCACCAAGGGGCAGCTCCTGCGTTGAGCATCTGCCCCCTGGTGGTCAGTGTGTGTCATAGTAACTGGTCGTTCCACCATTTGGTGGATTTGCATATTAGCCTTTTATTATATAGGATAGTTTATTATATAGGATAGTCTGTGTATATCTATATATCTATATATCTATATATCTATCTATCTATATATACATATATATATATACACTGTTCAAATGGACACTTTAAATCAATTACACTTTTATCAAACAGCAGGGCAGGAAGAAATTAACCAAAGATCTATATGCAAACTAGAGGCCCGGTGCAACCCAGGCACTGGTGGGGTGCCTTGGCCTGGCCTGTGGGGATCAGGCCGAAACCGGCTCTCCAACATCCCCCAAGGGGTCCCGGATTGCAAGAGGGCACAGGATTCGTGCACCGGGCCTCTACTCTACTATATAAGAGTAATATACTATGTTTCATTTCTCCATAATAATTGTACGTTATGTCCCAGTGTTTTATTAACTATCCCATGAACAACTCTGTGTATACAATTTTTCCAGTGGCTGAAATTATTTCCTGAATGTTGATTCCCAGAAGTGAAATCATTGGGTCAAAAAGTACGATTTTTTTTTTAAAGAAACACAACACAGTTATTCTTTTAATAACATTTGCAGGGGTATTTTTTTCTGGTTTAAAGAACGCACATTAAATGTAAAGAATTTGGAAAACACAGAGACGTTCAAAGAAGCAACACTCAGATCCCTGCGCTTAAATGCTGGCGTGTTTCCTGCACATTGTTAAGGCCCCAGGCGAGCTTTAACACCAGGGCTCCTACCAACGTTAGCGCCTCTGCATCCCCGTAAAACGGGCAGGAAGGAACGACCTTCCTGCAGAGGATGAGGAGCACCGTTTCGCTGTGCAGGTGGGGGCAGTGGTGGTGGTGGTGGGGGGCAGCAGGAGCTCCAAGGCTGGCATCTGGCGACCCGAGGACCCAGGACTCCTGGCAGTGCTGAGCCGGGAACAGGCCTGTCACCCTGACACCAGGAGTCCACCTTCCAGGCCTCCCCCAGCTGAGCGGGGGAACAGCTCCCACCCGCCCAGGGCGCCGTGAGGCCCCGGTCAGGGTACTGGCCTGTGCTGAAAGGCAGACGCGATGCTGAGGATCCAGAACTCACTGAGGATGCTGCCGAAAGCCAGGTGGGCGTGGTGGGAGTTCTGCAGGGACACCACCCACGGGAACTCCTTCTCGCTGACCAGACCCTCCTCGGAGGTCTCTATAACGTTGGTTTTCTGGATGCCACAACCTGCAGAGGGAGGTGCGGGGGGGCCTCACCGCTGGGGCCAGGGT